TTTTTGAACTTAAATTGTATAGCGAGAGTAGGAATAATATTACAAATGGATATAAAATTTTGAAAGTACAAGCTTTACGAGAATGAAGAGTGTGTTTTTTTAACAGGCTGATTGAATGGGTGTTTCGGAAACAAGGAGTGACTTAGTTTGTGATGTTACTGGCTATATATATCGCATGAATCAAAGGTATGTATATAGCGCTTAGATAGAGAGTATATGATAAATGAAATTCGTCATCATGACACAATAAACATTCTTGTAGACGTATTCAACTTTTCGATCGTTCGATCATCATTTCGCTTCTAATAGGCAATTGTGAACTGCTTGATGCTGCAATCAAAATTTAAGACAGGGAAGTTAAAGTGATCAGTGGTGCAAATGAAAGTGGCGTAATGAAGAAAAAAGAAGTTCAAAACTGATGCTACCAGCTGATATCCACTTACTTGTCACATTTGAGATTCTTTGAGAGAGGAAAGGGGACAGTAACATTGCACAGCCCAGGAATTTTCTGCAAATCCTCGTCTTTGATGGTTGGGAATTTCTGAAAAGCAGTAGCCAAGCACTTGCAGGCGGCGGTCTTGTCGTCAACCGTCGTTGCGCTATCGGCGAGGTTGTGTAGGCCGTTGCAGCAGGTCTGTGGAACTTTGTCCTGACCTCCTTGAGCGAACTGCAGGCATGGCATGGCATCGATTTCCACCGTGCTACATTGGACAGCCTTTGGCGTTGGTTGTCTGCTCTCTGCAACGCAAATGAAGAGGACGGCGGAGATTCCAAATATGATGACAATGTTTGAGATGATTGCCTTCTTCATCATCATCATGTTGTTGTTTTGATGGTACGTTGCTAGCAATGTATATGTATGGGTTTTGAGGGAAAGAAGTTGTCTTTGTGAGTTTGTGAGAGAATGAATGAAGGGGGATGGGGCTTATATAGTCCCACAAGTTTTGTCTTGTAAATAGATGAGACCAAAAAATAGTTCCAATGAGGAAGAGTTCGAGACATTAGTCCACGTGATAATAATGTGAAAGGTGGGGATTGTGTATTTGTGTTCTCGTGGAGTATCAATCTAACTTTTGTAAGAAATATGAATACCGAAATTTGGATTTCACTAGCCGAATATAATTTGTTTCTAAATTATATAATTAATAATCGGAAAAAATTGTAAATACACCTAACAATTACATACAACTTTTTGAGACAGTTTAAAAACCGATGTTAAATACCGTCTATGAAACGAGCCAAAGGTTTTGGTGGCCGGAACCTAGTCGGGCCTTCCATCTCCTTCGGGCCACATATTTTGGCGACGGTTTTATGGCGCGATTATTTAAAAATCTACACAAAATATTGTCTCGTTTCTTTTAATTAGTGTCGCCCAAAGTTGGCAAATTGTTGCGACGGTTTTGCGAGTGGTATGGTTCGAGTGGTGGTATAATAAGTTTTTGTCGATTTATGTCAGTTTATTAAGACATGAAAAATATGAAAAACCATTAACATCAAATGAATGTAAGCATATATAAAAATAAAATATATTTGAGCAAATCCTTCGATTTGTTGAGAACCAATGGTGTTTTATATGAGGAGTAAATTGTCTTACCCGATTGGCACATGTTCTTTAGATGCCCATTGGCACCCAGTTGCGGTATCTTATAGGTCTAAATGTCTTCATTGACTCGTCCCTGATTGTGAATTTCATTCACTGGTGGTGACATGTTATGTTTTTTAGCACCCCCAACCTCAATTAGTGGTGGGCATCCAGTTCGGTCAATACGAACCGAATCGAGCCGAATCAAACTCAAACCGAACCGAAAATGAATTAATGCTATTCGGTTCGGAAATCGGAAGGGAAAATGGTTATTTCGGAAAACAGGGTTGTCCCAACCGAACCCCAATTTCGAATTTCGATCGAGAAACCAAAATTTGCTATAATACTCAGTCCAATCCCCACAGACTACACTCTCCACTCTAAAAGCCCAAACACTCTCACAACCCAAATCCCCATAAAACCCTAATCCCACACTACAAAAGAAAAAGGGTCTATCACAAGGGTTTTTTCAATATGTAGCAAGGGTTTTGACAACCTCTGCACGAATCCTCGCCAATGCTGCCCCTGCTACATGTAACAAAGGTTTTGAGCAACCCGCGGTGAAAGTCCCATCCAAGGGTTGTAGCAGGGTTGAGATTCAAGGGTTAAAACCCCTGCTACGCATTGGTATAAACTCAGCCATGAGATATTCATAGCAAGAGTTAAAACCCTTGGTAAATTTGTTACTAAAACTGCCAAGGGTTAAAACACCTGCTTTGTTCGTGGCTAAATCAATTGCAACGAACTCAAACTGTTGCTAAAGGATCTCAAAACGGTCGCTAAAGTGAACCATAACTAATGGCTATAACTTGGTTGCAAATAATCTGGTCACTATAAACAAACCCAAAACCTGAAACTCAATAGTAGCCAAATCAATACCATACACTATTCCCATTAATATTCCATCATTCATCTCATAATTCATGATCCAAGACAATATTGATTACATGGCTAAATGCTAATTACCATGAATATTCCAACATAATCCGGAAAAGTATGGTCTAGTGATGAAGTTCTATTTGCTTAACCATAAAAAAAAAGTTCTAATTTCTTCATCTCCTTCATGTTTGAACTTCATCCCAACTTGATGCAGCATTGAGGATTCAAAAGAGCCACTGGAATCGAAAATCTTAGAGATCTACTGCTGCATCTCTACAGCTTCTAGCACTTGTTGCTTCTAAGTGACAATCCACAGTTGGTTCTAGCAATAAATAAAGGAGAAATATTAACTTCTAAAAACCTCAGAGATCTGCTGCTACGACAAGGTTAAAAAAAGGCATGACGAGGATTCAGAACAGCTGCTGGAATTGAAAACCTCATAGATTTGCTGTTGCAGCTTCAAGTACTTATTGCTTTTAAGATCTCATCCGAGAACACGAAGGATGAGTTGTTGCCATCCATATTAAACTCCAATAGAGGCAACACATGAAAAGGTGTCTCCAAGCAACTGAAAACATCACTGTGTGCATAAGAATAGGTTCAGTCACTACACACCCCTAGCAATACCAATGCTAGCAGCAAAACACTTTGCAGGTGACACCAAACACTCCAATAATGCCCACTACAACTTGATCATGCTTGTTCATCCATTCATAATTAACCCAGTTTCTAGAAAAATTATTCTAGAATCTACCCCAACTTTAAAAAAACACAGTCCTGTGTCTTCAGTTCTAAACATCAATTATATTCATTCCCAATTCAATACTCTTACTAGTGCAAGTTCAAACAGGACAAAAAGATAAGAGAGACATTACCGGATTATTTTCAGCATCTTCTATCCAATTTTGCCCAAGAAACTTCTTACTGATGAACCTCTCCATGGCCTCCATTTGTTTCTTCATCTCACTTAACTCTCCTTTCAAAGTTATTACATCTTCATTTGAATGTCATCCACATCTGGACACTCGCAAACTCTTCCTCTAGTATTTTTTGCTTCTTCAAACCCGAATGGAACAGCAGAATCCAAGGAACCAATCAAGAATTTATCTAACATAGAATGCTGTAGAGAATGGGGTTCAGAAAGGAGCTTAACCTGAAAGCTATAGTATCTTCTTCTTCTACTTCTTCTTCCCATTATGAGAGAATGGGGTTCATGGCTTTTTACTGGAGGCAGCGATAGAGCATCTCAATCCTACCCAATATGAGAAACTGGAAGCAATAAAGCTAATTAACTCATCTCAGTCTGCAACTCTTCCTATTCCTCTTCGGTCCTGCTATTTCGATCACGTTGTATACAAGCAATAGCTAATTAGAAGTCGATGGTAAATTGCCATTCATAACAAAAAAAAAACTATCTATAATGGCTAACCGTGCAAGAGCATATAATATAATGAAAAGAAAAGGAAAGGTGATCTGAGCATACCGCTGCAACACGAATAAGCCTCCCCTAATCTTCTACTCCTTCAGATGTCCCCTCGATCCCTAATATGCGCGTACATGCACTGACAAAGGGCCTTGCGTACTCATAAGTTTGGAACCTGGAACATAATGTAGCATCCAGCCATCAAAAAATAAGAAACTCGGAATACATTCTTAAAGATTGTAGTAAGCTTGCTTATATAGAAGTCATGGAGAAACAGGAATAAGCATACGAATGCATCACCCCGCAGATGGAGAAGGGGCAACTCCATCTGTTAGTGCCTTCTGTCCACTTTCATCAGGTACGTGCACACCGGCCCAGCCAATCCACCTGGCATCAAGTTGAAATGCTAAAAACTGAATCTGTATTTTTCCCGGCGTGCTTATAAAAGATCCGAAAAAGAAAGTCGAGACTCAACTGAAACATGGAAGTCAGGACTTGGTAAAGATTTAGAAATTCACATATGGATATTGATGAACACTTGTACCTTGGTTGGACTAGAAATCTGCCACTCCTGCTGTCACACTGATATGCTTTAAGAAATCAATTGTGGAATTACAGTAAAAGCCATAGTAATTTTATGGATTTATAGCAACAAGTAGAAGCTCTTTGCTTAGAATTTATGCTCTCTAACTTAAGCTTGTTAACAACAATGAGAATTGTTTACAACTAGACTACATTGACAGAGACATTATATGCTTTAGAGGGCATGATTAATCCATACCCGATAGCAAGTTGGCAGCTCAAAACCAACTATGAAGAATCCTCGTCAACTGTACCTTAAGAACAAGCCCAATACTGACTTTAGTAGAGAATCCACATTCAAACTAGATAATCAAAATACAAAACAGAGCTTGCATAGGAGAGACAACAAGGATAATCGTATTCAAAGTTAGAGCTTGAAAATGAAGTTAAACTGAAGGAACAGGTTAGGGGGATTACTTTACTAGATTTCATGAAAAACAAAATACTTAAACCCTCTCAAAACCTAGTTAGTCCCATTAGCCAGGGTAATCAACCATATTTAGAGAAAACTACACTACTAGTAAAGACAATCCTCTATTCGGAGCCTATCGCTTTCAAGAAGCTAACAACAAAGATGGTACCAACAGCTTCAACTGGGAAGGGAGAACGGGAATAATCGGGAAGTGCCAGCAACGAAGAGAAGTATAACGAGATACCTAAGGTTCCTGTTCCTCCTCGGCATTGAGAACAACAGAGTCGCGATCTTCGATCTATAACCCGAGCCGGATCCTCTGCTCCCTCTTCCTTCAATGGCACTACTGCTACTGTTGCGGCAGCCGCCAAGCATCTGCTATCCATACTTGATAAAATATCGAGTCTTCCCAGTAAATAAGGAGACGAGCAGGCCTGAAGTAATTCACTCTTGACCTAATTCATACACTCTATCCACAAACACTCAATTCTTCAAAACCTTACTATCGGAACTTACACAACTCGAGCAATGCCATCTCCAACTTGGCCGCCACTTGCTCCAACGGCTGCCAGAGAGAGAGGCCGAGAGCGCGCAAGAGAGTGAGAAAGAGATAGAACCTTATCATAGAATAGGAGAATCAAAGAATTTCGACCGTTTTACGCCTGATCGAGAGAGAGAGACCGGAGAATCGCCACTGATTAAATCGGAGGGAGCGAGAGATCAGCGTTCGTTTTCATTTCTCGGGCATAGGAGCTGGAAATTGGGGATTTTGTTATGGAGGGGAGATGGCGAAAAGCATTTGTGAAAATAGGGGTTGGGAAGAAGAAGAGATGGGTTGTTGTGTCAAAGAGTTTTCCCGATAGATTGAAATTTTAGTAGTTAAGTCAGTAACGGGGGTTTCCAAACCCTTGTGTCAACTTCCTTTGAATCCTGATGCAAGAAGGATTGCAGACTGAAGAGGAGGCTGAAGATCGAAGATGCAAAACGGAGTCGTTTTCCTTTTTCTTTAAGTTCATTAAGAATGAAACACTGTCGTTTTACTTAAGGCTTGTTAGCCGTTATTAGCCGTTGTTGAACAGTACTTTGGTTTGTAATAGGCTAATCGTTGGTTTCCAAGTGGCAATCTAGAACTAAGCTGTTTATGCAGCTCATATATATACTGCAAACAGAGCAGCCCTGCAGCTTTGAGGGTTTTCCTTTTGCCCTAGCAAATTTTCTCCATATGGTATCAGAGCGGCGAGGCATCTAGGGTTACAATGGCGAACACACCATCGCAGTCGAGCCATGGAATGGAAGCTGCAACTGCATCAGCAACCTCCGGAGCAACAATGTCTGGTGTTCGAGGTTTCCAGTTTGGCACTTACACTGAGACGCAGCAACAAGAGCAGCATCAACAAAACACTATCGGACCTGAGGTGATAACTTTTGGTAACCCTTTCTACTTGAAACCTAATGAAGCACTGAATCAGCCTATAGGTTCAGAAGTGTTTGATGGGACGAATTACATTATGTGGAGTAGATCTGTCATAATGGGTTTGAAGATGAAACATAAAATGGGCTTTATCGATGGAAGCATTCCAATGCCTCCAGTGAATGATGACACATTTCTGCTATGGGATGGATGTAACACAGCTGTGTTATCATGAATCTTGAATTCCTTGCACAAAGATCTTCGACGTTCTGTGATGAATCATGTTAGTGCTAAGGTACTCTGGGATGAGTTGAAGAGAAGGTATGGTAAACCTAATGCCATACGAATCACAAACCTGGAGGATGATATCCACAAGTGCAAGCAAGGGAACCGCACTATCAACCAGTATCACAATGAGATTAAGGGAATTTGGGAAGAGCTCGCACAGTTCAGTCCCATAGTTCCATGTAATTGTGCACCTGGGAATGTGAATCCATGTGATGTTGTTGTAGCCTACACAGAAAGGCAGGAAACTGATTATCTGATCAGATTTCTCAGGGGTTTACATCCAGACTATGAAATTGTCAAGAGCCAGTTACTATCTCGCAAACCATTACCCACTGTGTCTGAAGCAGTGGATGACCTACTCCAGTATGAACAAAAGCTGAAAGCAGAAACTCAGGGTGGAAGGAAAGGCCAAAGTGTGGCACTGGCTGTTGAGACTGAACAAGATGAGAGACCAAGGGGGGCAAGGGAAGAAGTTTTGCATCTTTTGCAAAAGAACAAATCATAATGTTGAGTAGTGTTGGAGAGCTAAGAAGAAGAGAGAATCACAGAATGGAGGAGGATCTCAGGGAAATGCTACCAGCTTTGCAGGATCAGTATCACAAACAGGGTCTAGTGATTCAACTACTGAAGTTGGCTACTCCAGCTCAACTGATACACCAGGAGGTAGCCCAGTAAGTGCTTCTGATACAGTGGTTGGTTTTACCCCAGAAGAGATGAACAAGTTAAGGAGCATGATGCATTCTGGTACTGGTAACCCTTCTTCACCTACAACCTCACGATCTTTGCCTCATCATGCCTACTCAGTCACTCAAATTCCTCCACCATACCCTAATTACTCAGGTAAATATAGCTTGTCTACCTCAAGTCAGTTTAACCAAACCAATTCCACGAACCTTTGGATTCTAGATACAGATGCCTCAGATCACATTTCTTGTTCATTAGCCTCATTCATAGAGCATAAACCAGTATTGCAAAGTGTTCTTTTGACTTGGTTCATGTTGATATATGGGGACCCTTGTCTGTTCAGTCTTATGATGGCCACTCTTACTTTCTTACTGTTGTGGATGATCATACAAGGGCAGTATGGGTTTATTTAATGAAACACAAACATGAAACTAGAGAATTGCTGAAAGGTTTCTGTGCCCTGGTTCATAACCAATTTAATACCATTGTCAAAGTAATTAGAAGTGATCAAGGGTAGGAATTCCACATGAAGGAATTCTTTATGGAAAAAGGGATAGAGCATCAGATGTCTTGTGTGGAAACCCCAGAACAAAATGCCAGGGTTGAAAGAAAGCACCAGCACATTCTAAATGTGGCTAGGTCACTTAGGTTCCAATCTGGATTACCCTTAACCTTTTGGAATGACTGCATTCTTCATGCAGTATACTTGATTAACAGAATGCCAACACCAATTCTGAATGGCAAATCACCATTTGAAGTTCTTTACAACCATCAGCCATTTCTTGGCAACCTTAAATTATTTGGAAGCCTATGTTATGCCAGTACACTTGGGCATAACAGGACAAAATTTGCACCAAGGGCAAGACAGTGTGTTTTCTTAGGCATCCCTGCAGGAGTTAAAGGATACAAGTTGCTTGACTTAGATGATAAAAGGGTTTTCTTGTCTCGGGATGTTATCTTTTATGAAACAATTCTACCATTTAGAGATTGTTCAGATACATCAGATTCTCCCTCTTCATCATCTACTGGTCCAATTCCTCAGACCATAACATCAGCTCCTCCTCTCATGGTTCCTGCGTCATCACTTCCTACACCTTCAGCACCTGTTTCCTATGATCAGGCCTCAGCTGCAAGGGGGGATGGTGATTCTAGTAGTCAAAATGAAGATGAAGATGCTGCAACTCCTGCAAGTGTCATTCCTGAATCAGTTCCTGAGGTCACTGATCAGGAGTGTGAACTACTACCACAAGATGATTTTGAACCTCCACCACCAAGAAGATCTCAAAGGCAACCAGTATTGCCAGCTAAGCTGAATGACTGTGAATTAGACCCCCAACTGACATTTGGTGCATTTGGGACAGCAGCAAGTGCAAGTAAGCATCCTATCTCTCTAAATTTTGAACGTTTGAATGAAGAGGATAGGATATATGCTTTAAGTGTACTGAAGCATGAGGAACCAACCTCATACCATGAGGCAGTCAAATCCAATGAATGGAATAGAGCAGTGATAGAGGAAATACATGCTCTAGAAGCAAACCAGACCTGGGAAATAGTTGAAGCACCACCAGACAAACATATAGTTGGTTGTAAGTGGGTATTTAAGCTCAAACTAAAGCAGGATGGTACAATTGAGAGGTACAAAGCAAGATTAGTGGCCAAGGGCTTCACACAGATATATGGGATTGACTTTCTGGATACTTTTTCTCCAGTAGCAAAGATTAACTCAGTAAAGGCATTGCTAGCCATAGCTGCAGTGAAGAATTGGACCCTAGAGCAGTTGGATGTTTCCAATGCTTTTCTAAATGGGGATCTACATGAGGATGTGTACATGCAGGTACCTCAAGGAATTGTTTTACCACCTGGAAGCCCTAAGAGGATGGCTTGTAAACTAAAGAAGTCTTTATATGGCCTTAAACAGGCCTCAAGGCAGTGGTTTTCCAAGTTAACTGGTTTTCTGTTGAAAAGTGGGCTTTATCAGTCAAGCTCAGATTACTCCATGTTCACTAAGTGGGTTCATGGGAGAATTGTTGTTCTACTTTTCTATGTGGACGACATAATACTGGCTGGTGATGCTCAGAAAGACATTGATCAAGTTAAAAACTCCTTGAGCAAAGAGTTTAAGATCAAACTGCTTGGACATTTGAAATACTTCCTTGGATTAGAGGTGAACAGGACAGCAGAAGGATTGATGGTTTGTCAAAGAAAATATTGTATGGACTTGCTTTCTGATACATGATATTTGAATGCTAAAGGATGCAAGTCACCATCAGATCCAAAGATCAAGTTAACAGCAACACAAGGAACTTTGCTTGATGATCCAGAACATTACAGAAGATTGGTTGGAAGGTTACATTACATAACTATCACTAGACCTGACTTGACATATTCAGTGCAGCAGTTGTGCCAATTCCAGAAGAAGCCCTACTCAGAACACCTACAAGCAGCCTACAGAGTACTAAGATATCTCAAATCTTGTCCTAACCAAGGTATCTACTACAGCAGCAAAGCAGACTTGAAGCTTGTGGGATTCTGTGATTCAGACTGGGCCAGCTGTCCAGACACTAGAAGATCAACAACAGGGTATTGTACCTTCCTTGGAAGCTCTCTTCTGACCTGAAAAACAAAGAAACAAACAACAGTCTCCAGATCATCATCTGAAGCAGAATATAGAGCATTAGCTCTATTGGTTTGTGAGATTGATTGGTTAAGAGTATTATTGGGTGAAATGGGGGTCAAAGTCCCTCTTCCTGTTGCTGTTTATTGTGACAACAAGTCTGCAATCCACATTGCAGAGAACCCAGTGTTCCATGAAAGGACAAAGCACATTGAGATTGATATGCACGTTACAAGAGAAAGATTGAAGACTGGTTTGATCAAGTTGTTCCATGTAAGTACAATCAATCAACTTGCTGACATATTCACTAAGGGTTTGGACAGGAATCGACTGAAGGATCTTCTGGACAAGTTGGGAGTCAAGACAGCACTCACAACTTGAAGGGGGTG